TGTAACCTGGGGGAGCAAGAGGTCTGTGGAGTTATGTCGAGGGAGGAAGGCATAACCAGTTTGTCCGATGTAGTTGATGCCGGGGGTTTTTCCCTGTAACTTAGGGGCGTGTGGCTAATCGAGAGTGTCGAGGGAGGAAGGCACTCTTTGCCGTCTGRACCAGACTGGTCGRTACWGGGGAAGTTTGTGTTGCTCTGTAACCTTAGCATAGGGGGGTATGAGATCAGCTGAGTTCTGGTACGARGACTAAACGCTTGGACTTAACGTTTTTTTGGTTGTTGAAAGGGAGGTGTAAGCAGCAGGAGGTTTTAGTTAGGATCTTCTGYTTCCAGGTTTGGATTGTGGTTGGGTAGATCATAGGCAGTTTTCTGAGAACTGCAGTTGTTTCTCATAGGTAATTGACTAATTGTTTTCCTAGCCGAAGCCGAGTAATGGCCCCAAAATTTTGAACGTGTTACCTATTCTCAGTTGTACTTCAAAGGGACGCTGAGCCCGACTCTCAACACGTGATGCTCCCCACGAATAGATTGGAGCCTTTGTGCCCCCCAAAAAAAAGAAAAAGAAAAAAAAAGTGTTTTTTCAAAAGTTTCTCATGATTAATCCCAAGATACGCAGACTAATGGGTTGCGCTCCAACAAGCAAGGTTGGGGCAGAGGGGGGTGTTTGAGATCGAACTCTTAGGATTGGCCTTCTTCGAAAGAGGATAGTACAAGGTGGGAGGAGTACTGTCCTCAAGGGGGAGGGTGTTTTTTGAGGGAGGTTCTTCTCCAGGGCTAGGCTGGTCTTTGGTTCGGATCAGCCACAACGGTCGGGGAAGAGGACAATGGGGTAGAGCTGACTGCATTTGCGTTCAGCAGGAGGAGTGATTGGTGGGCTATACCACCAGGCGGTGGGACAGGGTGGGGGGGGGAACTTCTGCTCTGTGATGAAATACGCTAAGGGGGATTGTATTCCATTGAGGGAGCATGGGGTGTCCGAAGGGGGTCTGTTCTGAACTGAGGCTGATGGGAGATGGGGGCTCCCTATAGCGGGGGTAGGGCGGAACAAAGGGGGGTGCTGAGGAGAGAGCGTGATCGAGGGTGCGAAAGGAGGATGTTGTTTTGGAGTGTGTACCTTAATACATAGTAATTACTTCGAATTCTTGCCTATGATCTAGGCGAGGAGCGGTCTGGGGGTAAACGTCTTGTTGGCGAGGAGGGCTAGCTGACAAGATTGTAGTAGGGTATGCAGTAGGGAGGATGGTGGCCTAACTATAGTAAGTCCTACTGGAAAAGTGGGGGAGGTAAGAGTTAGAAATAGGAGGATTGGGGGTGATTGGGATTTGTTTGCAGTCGAGCAAGATTCAGTCCAGGCCGAGTAGGTGTGGAGGACGTTGCTGGGACGAGGCAGACTGTCGCTGGGGCTTTTTTGCTTCGTAACCCGGGTGGGGGCTTGGGTCCGGGGAAGGTGAAACCAGCTTGTCCAACGAAGCCAGTGTTGGGGCATTGCTCTGTAGCCTGAATGAGTCAGGGGCTTGAGGGTAGGAGGGAGTGGCCGAGGGAGGAAGGCACTCCGGTCTCTGCCGTCAGAACGAGGATGGTCGGAGCTGGGGCAGGTCGTGCTGCCCTGTAACCTTAGTTGATGGGGGGTAAGAGACTGTATGAGATTTCATGAGGATTGAATGGTCGGACTGAGTCTTGCTTGCTTGTCCAATGGATTGTGGGAAGAACGAGGAGTCCTATTTTCTTTTTGCTAGTCTCCTTTTTTTTTTTTTTTTAAATTGAAACTTTGTATACAGGAAGCCTACTTTAAGTTAACGAGGTGATAGGAGCATCCCCGATAAGTATGCCCAAGCGTCGAAGACTCCATCTATTGGTGGGGAGCTGCACATGCTGGAAATCGGGTCCAGCGTCCCTATACAATGATGAAATGTGCATCTGCTGGAAATCGGGTCCACCGTCCGTATGCAGTGATGTGTAGTTGTCTCCTACTCAGCATCCAATACAGTCTATTTGTGTTTGTTAGTCAGTATAAGTCACATGATGGAAGAAGCCTATCCACCTAATCTATTGTATCTCAATACGAGCTGAGGCATCAAGCCCAAACCTATCAATCAGACAACAAGACGAAATCATTACGATGATGTGATATATGCTACTTGGAAATCAGGTCCAGATGCTTTATAAAATGATGTGTGGAAATGTCGTAGTACACATTTGATTACTACTCTACTGTATCTCTAATACGAGCTAAGCCATCAAGCCCAATCCCATCGATCAAACCAGAAGACGAAACCCTAGTGATGATGTGATGTATTGCCATGTTACTCTAGACAGCCGGGCCATTGATTACTTCTCTGCGACAGGGAAGGATTGACCTCCTGCCATCAAAGCCTAACCCTACCGAAAAGCATTGTCATCAACCACCACAACAAGCAATCATCAAAACACTCCACAAAACAGATCAGACACGTGAAAACCCTAAACAACCTACCTCCCACCTAAGGGACAGTCAACATTCCTTGTTGATTGAAATCGAGGGCTGGATGACTCCAATCAACAGAGGGGACATCTTCTATCCTACTCCCATCTRCTGCCACACATCGAGAAGCGATTCAACATTGGAAAAGAAAGTTGGGGGGGACAATAAAATATTTTTTCAACACTAATCCCCTCCTCCCCGTCCTCGTCAGGTCCCCACTCCTCTCCCCCTGTAATGATATTGTTGTTGTTGCGGCTATTGTCACTGTTGTTGTTGTTGCTGTCAGCGGTGCAGGCGTTGTTGTCTTTATCGTTGTTGTTGTTACTAGTCTCCTTGGTTGGTGGATCTATAGGTAAGTTTTTTACAATAATAGAATCCAAGCTTTCTTCAGTAGATTTGCAGTCTTTTCACAGCCTCTTGCTTTTTGAAGGCATAAAAATCATTCCTAGCGAAAGTCGGGTAATGGCCCCGGTATCTCAAAAAAAAAAAAAAAAAAAAAAAGAACTTATCTCAATTGGTTCTTATTCTTCAGAAGTAAGTCCGTTGGTTTTGGTTGTTTACGGGTGGTTTTGAGAGGGCTTTAGGATTCTAGGGACTTCTAGCAACTCGCTTTAGGCTGTTTGATACTGGTACATTCATGGATCTGTGGTTGTCCGACGCTAGAACGACGCTGGCCGGTGCTGGCTGTTACCCTGTAACGTGCTGATTTGAAACAGTATTCACCAGTTCGCAGTAGCTGATGCAGATCCTAGGGCTCGATCCCTAGTTCCCCATCTTACCTGTGTAGAGTACCGGTGTCAACCGATTTGAACCTGCTACCTGTAGGACCGCCAGTGGTAGGTAGGTTTTCGTAGGTCACAGGGTAGAAGGGAATCGAACTGTAGACCTGTAGGATAGGAGTCTAGACAGTTCCGAAGTCGTAGTTGTAGGCTGTCTGAAAGGTCAAGGTAGTAGCTGCTACTTACCTGAAAGGGCAAAGTCGTAGCCGCTACTGTACCGAAAGGCCAAGTTAGAGGTTTCTAGAAGTGGCCTTTCGAAGTGAGCCTGCGTTAAGCACAGGCAAGTGGTCAAGTGGTGGTACTCCACCTAGTACAGTCAGCAGTCCTAGTCCACCCAGTCCGGTCCAGTCCAGCAAGTACCGTCTGGGACTGTGTGCACGATGGGCCAGGGGTACAGGGCAGACCAACGCAGCACAAAAGTATAAATCAAGAGGCTGCGCCCAGCCATTCATTCATTCCTGCGGAAGCCAGGCGGAAGCGCTGCCTCAGCAGCTTGTGCGAGGAGGTCTGCAGAAGACCCGAAGACGAAGTAGGCGAGAGTGACATATGGTAGCCATAGCAGTAGGGTAGTGGCGGCCATAACCGCCATAGCTGTAGCTTAGGGGAAGAGTGCGTATACTGTGTGTGTACTGAGTATCGCGTGTGGGACATCCAGGGTGATCCAGAGTGTGAACAGTGATTGTTTGAGGCGCACAGTCGCCATAGCCAGTGGAAGCGAACTTACCTGGAAGACATATCTCTGTGTACTGTGTGGGCGCAAGTCACCAGTTGTGTGCTGCTGTTCACGTGTCACGTGCCTGAAAAGTGTGAGTAAGTCAAGTCTGTTCACGAGAGACACGGGTAGGTCTAAGTGGTGAGGAGTGGGACTTTTGTCATAAACCTGACACCACAATGGATGACTATCCGATGTATGGGTTGCTTGTTGGGTTCTCCCTCCGGGGGACCCTCTGGTGTCTCCTCTTTCCTCTGGGCTTCTGACCCACTTTCATGTGTAGAGTAGGAACCCGAGGTGGCACTTCCACCCAACCTTACACGAAGGAGGAGGAGGAGAAGATGGCCGCCATCCTGCAGCCTGAGGAGAGAAAGGAGAAGAAGGAGGCCAAGAAGAAGGCCTTGATGGAGGCGCAGGCGGCCAAGTTGAAAAGGATTGAGGAAGAGATGGCCAGGGAGAAAGAGAGAATAAAGAAAAAAGAAGAGGAGAAGTTGAAAGAACTGGAGGAGGAAGAGGAGGAAGATGACCAGCCACTGCAAAGGAAGAAAGGGCAGTACAGTAATAACAAAGGTGAAGAGTTGGAGAAACGGATTTCAGAATGGGTCGCCAACTTATCCCTGGGGGAAGAAGAAGAAGTAACTATGTATATCCCCAAGGAGGACCAGGAAGCCGCTATGAAAAAATGGGAAGCAGAAGGAGATGTTTTGAAGCGGCAGGCGATGGAAGATGAARCKAGGATGGAGTGGAAACTYGCAATGATGAGGGAGAAGAAGAGAAGAGTAGACGCGGCGAGTGAAGCGGTCAAGGAACTGGAGGAGGTGCAACAACTCATGTTAAGATTGACCCTTCAGGTAGACCTCGAGCAAAAGGTACAACTCATTGCTCAGAGTGTTGAGCGCTTAGCCCGAGTGCAAGAACGACAGTACGATTTTAGTCGAAGTCAGGACATGGCAGTGCGCTCAATGCGAATGGGGTTTCGAGACTTTGCTCGCGAATTTGTAGGCGCGATAGTAGCCGAGGTGAACCATCGCCTCGAGAAGACTGAACGTTTCTGCGCTGGCGCCATTGAGGGCGTCAAGGCGGCAACTCCCAAGGAGGAGCAGCCACGTCCGTGTAGGGAGCTAGTCAAGGTCAAATTCCCTGATTCCTACAGTGGGAAAAGGGAAGAGAATTTTGACAACTAGGAGGCCAACGTCAAGACCTACGTGCATCTGCAACAGGTCTCCCCAGATCAGCAAGTTCTAATTGCGATCCACGTACTTAGAGATGAGGCCGCCAGTTTCGCAAGGTCCCTTGTTCGTGCTGCCAACTGCAGTGACGATTCAGTTGCGTAGTCCTCGTTCACTTCCCTCACTGAGTTCATGAAATTGTTGTGCGAGCGATTTGCTGATGTCGCTCGAAGTGTCAAAGCCTCGGACAAGCTCTAGACGATCCATGCTCGTAAGTGGAAGAGTGCCAGGGCACTCAAGAGCACAATGGACGAACTAGTAGCTGTCCCTGACCACGGGGTTACAGACACCCAGTTGGTTGCCCTCTTCTATAGAGCGATGCCCGAAGCTTTTCGCGGGCACTTCTTCGTGAAGAGCGAAGACCCTGCCACCACTTACGATTCCCTTAACCGTGAAGTGGTGGCATTTGAGGCAAAGTCTGTGTCAATCTCCACCTTCTGGCACAAAGATTTGGATAAGGGGAAGCAATGGAAGGGCCGCACTATGTCTGGGCAAGTGAAGACTAAAGATAGTCTTGTCCTAACACTAGACGAGGGTAGTGTGCATGAGATCCCCTACGATCAGATTGAGTGGGGGTTAGAGGAGGAGGATAGCGGCGTGGGCCAGGGGAGAACTTACGCTGCTGTCACGGCTCGAGGGAGGCCGCAAGGAGGAGGACGAGGCTAGGGCCAAGGGGGCCGGGCCTAAGGGGGGGGGTTCCAGGGCGATCAGGGGGTTGGCGACAGAGGAGGAAACCGGCAAGCAGGAGGCAGGGGTCAAGGTCCCCCGCAAAACCGTCCTAGGAACAGGTCTCCCTACAGGGTAGGAGGATGGCACCCGGGGCTACCACAGGGTAGGCCTTGGGAAACTTTGGGTCTGGACCAGACTTTAGGGCAACAACGATTGGACCCGGGCCAATGCATTTTCTGCTGTGACCCGGGCCACATCATCAAATACAGTCCTAAGTATCGAGAGACCCGAATGGCTGCTCAAGGGTCAAAAGGCAGCCGCCGGTAGGGGTAGCAACTGCCCCCACCATCAGGCCATGTGGGAAAAATAGCACTAGCCGGCAGGAGACTCCCACACCACATGTGCCTATGGCAGAGGTTGCAGGCCGGTGTCTAGATAGCTGCCCAAAGACTGTTTGTGTCAAGGTCTCTCTAGAAACCTCCCTTACAGGCGTGCGAAGAATTGAAGGAGAGGATGCCCGCCTGGGCCAAGATGAAGAAGGAGAATAAAGGGCAGCTTATATTACTAGGTACAGAGATTTTTAGAGGTAGAGTAGGGACCCTAGTAGACCTAGGGGCCACCTGCAGCTATATTAGCAAGAAAGCGCTGCAGAAGTTGAAGCTGGGACTTGGAGTTTAAAAGCTAGCAGACCCTATAGTTAGTATCCTCGCGGATAATCGTACTATGGTTGTAGAGGAGTACATAGAGGGAGTCCAGGCGTACTTCCGCCTAGAGAAGGATGGGAAAGTGGAGAAGGTCCTCCACTCTCTGACTCTCCTCGTAGAAGACAGCCTCCCATTTGATATTGTTCTGGGAATGGATTGGGGAGAGGCAGTCGGGGCCACGCTCCATCTGAAGGAGCACGAGTGTAGACTCCCTATTTCTTTTTGGTGAGGCTAAGACTGTCCGCCCGTTCCATGTGTCAGGAGTAGAGAATCCCTTGGCACATTGCTGCCTTAGTGCCCCTGCGTTCGCCAGATTAGTGAAGAAGGAGAAATTGGAGGAACAGGTTTTTGTTGCCTACGTTAGGCSAGTSACTGAGCCTACGGAAGAAAGGTCGATGGACCCGGCGATTGCCAAGCTGCTGGAAGAGTTTAAGGATTTAACTGAGCCGCCAACAGGCACGGTGCCGCGGCCCATCCAGCACCGTATTGAGATAGAACCTGGCAGGAGAACTCCTAAGGGTGCCGTGTATAGGATGTGACCTCGCCTTACAGAAGCCCTAAGATTAGGAGTGGTAAAATTGAATGAGATTAAGTGGGTAGTGTGGGGAGATGATGGAGAGGCGATCTTCTTCTATCCATCGATGAAGATAAATGTGGACAAAAGGATAGCCCTTCAGGAAGCAAGACTGGGGAAGAGACCTGAGGGACCTTGCCTAAGAGTAAAAACCCAAGTTGGGGCCGGACCGTATAAGAGCAAGGAGGTCGCAACAGAAGGCGGAGGGAGAAGGAGTTGTGATGATGACCATTCAATGGTCGACGCCAAGATCACAGAAGAAAGGAAGGGGGAAGAACCCATGTCGCCAAAATCCCCTAGGAAGAAAGGACCTAAAAAGTTCGAAATGAAGTGCACCTTGGACCCTTGCGTAGGACTCTAATCCAGCCGATGCAATGCACTCTCCTGGAATATTTGGCGGCCAGCAAGAGCGTTAGGGACGAGCTCTGAAGCATCACCAAGAAGGTAAGGATTCCGCTCGCAGGAGGGCCTACAGTTCCGGGGGATGGACCCACTAAGGAGGAGGTGCAGTCTTCTCGAATTACCATGGAGGAACTGCCGACTTGTTTCTTCTCAGAAGACGAGACTAAGAAATTTTATGTGCTTGGGAGTGGCCAGCTCCAAGCTGTGGTGAGTGGGAAGAAGATGAGGGTCATGGTGGACAATGGGTCCGAATCTATCGTGTGTAGAGACTCTATCGCTAAGGAATTAGGGCTGGAGGTGGATAGAGGAGTATCCATGTCCATGGTTTGCGGACAACAAGCTCCAACCGGCGGAAGGGGTGTGTCACAGCCCCTTGATTGAGGTCGCAAGGATGGAAGCTACGGTTCCTATTTTCTCGGTGAAAGAGTGTTCGTCCGAGTTGATACTCGGAAGAACTTGGCTAAGCGCAGTGAACGCTACCACGTCCGACCTTCCTAACGGAAGTCAAACCGTCTCGATCCAAAGTCCGGACGGGATCCGGGTGGTTCTGAAGATGGTAGATGCTCAAGATAAGCGGAACCGGACTAGTATTCCGAGGAGGAAGGAAGCCCAGTCACGAGTGTGCCAGGTCCGGTTAGAAGAGTCGCCCTTGGCCGACGAAGAACCTCCGGGGGACCGGGTAAACGTCGAGGATGTCGGGGGGCGAATTAGAATCAATGGGGTGGGGTACGAGAAAGAGGACGAGGATGAAGAATTCAGCGGGTGCGTAAGGCTGTCTTTTTTGGAGGAATCCCCCTAGCCGGCGGAGTTAAGAAGCATAAAACCGTGGCGGAAAAAGTAAAACCCGCTGCAGTCAACCGGGATAGAACGGGGGAAACTTCGATATTGGAGGAAGAGATCGCCGATATCATCAGGAAGCGGAAGAAGACAGAAGGGCAGAGAATTATTGCCTACGGGCTAGCGAAAATAGACATAGGGGATGAAAACCTCACCGGACGAGAGAAGGAGTATGTGGCTATGACCGTAAGGGATTGCAACAAGGCCATAACTTTTGATGACTCTGAAAGAGGGAGGATCGACCCAAGGTACGCCAAGCCTGCCCGGATCCACACGATCCCCCACATACCTTGGAAAGATAGGCCTCCGTGGAAGTATGTGCGAAAAGAGGAGAAGGAGATAGTGACCTTCATCAAAGAAAAGATAAGGACTTTTGTTGCGGAACCTTGTGAAAGCGCCTACTCTAACAAGTGGTTCTTTCTGAGAAAAGGAGGTAGCAACAAACTGAGGTGGATTCAAAATCTCCAAAGGACTAACGCGGTCACCATACGGGATGTGGGGTCGATACCTGAGGCTGATCTACTCTCGGAAGGGTCGGTGGGTCGCTCGATCTACTCGATCGGCGATCTCTTCTCAGGCTATGATGAGATCCCGTAGGACTATAGGGATAGACATATGACCGCAATGCACACACCTCTGGGGTTAGTTCAAATGATGGTAGTACCCATGGGATAGACCAACAAAGTGGCCGTATTCCAAAGGGCCATGATCGTGGTCCTCAAAGAATTCATACCGGACAAAGTGAAAGTTTTCCTTGACGACTTTCCGATAAAAGGACCAGTCCAAAGGGATGAGAAAAAGGTCTTCTCCGGCATGAGGAAGTTTGTGGTAGATCACATGGCAGACGTAAAGGAAGTCCTCACAAAATTAGAGGATGCCAACCTTACCATGAGCGGGACTAAGAGTCACTGGGAGTGTCGTCAATCAAGATATTGGGCTTCATCTGTGACAAGGATGAGTGGAGGCCCGATCCCGCAAAATTAGAAAAGTTGATGACCTGGTCGTCGCCACTTAAGTCGATAACTAAGGTTAGGCAGTTTCTAGGGGTGGTGGGCTACTGGAGAATATTTATAAAAGGCTACAGCGAAAAGGCGGAGCCGCTAAGGCGGTTGCTTAGGAAAGTTGAAGGATGGGTCTGGGGAGAAGAGCAAGCCGCGACCATGGAAACCCTTAAAGAGGAATTCCGCGAAGGTGGGCAAGTCTTGGGGGTTCCTTTCTTCGAGGACGAGGAGAACCGCCCCTTTATAGTTTCTACGGACGCGGACCCTTGTTCCGTAGGAGGGTTTCTGTCGCAAAAAAATCCAAACGGGAAAGAGAGACCCCTTCGATTTGAGAGTTGGGCCTTGAATCCCGCCGAGAGAAACTATAGCCAGTTCAAGAAAGATGTGCTGGGAGTGTTGCACTGCCTAAAGACCTTCCGTCACTACATCTACGGGAGGCGGTTCCTCCTAAGGGTGGACCCAACCGCGGTAGCTGCTGTCCTTCAAAATGACTTCTCGCTAACCGACCCAACTATCGCTAGGTGGATGATTCATATCAGGTTCTACGATTATAGGGTCGAAAGGATATCCGGGGCCAAGAATCAAGTCGCGGACGACTTATCCAGGCTTCCCATCCGAGAGGAGGACTATCCAAAATTAGACGAGGCAACGCGCGCAATGATCAAGAGCGAGGTAATCCAAGTCGCCGCTAACAAGGCGCAAGCAACAGGGCCTGTCCGTGAGGAAGGGAAGCCCTAGGACGTTCCTCGCGAACCTTTACGATGGAAAATACCGAGATATGGAGCTATATCTAGTAGGTCGGGAAGAGGGCACCGAGGGAGTCAAGAGGGAGGCACTTGGGTA